AAGATCATTTTGATACACGACACACATATCGTCACATCTTTAGATAATATTAACAAAACACAAAGTAACAAATTAGCTAGGTAGCTAGTGTGATCTGCAGCAAAATTCTAGTTAAGTAGCTAACTAAGTAGCTAGCTAGTTAGCTTACATTTGAAGTGTATCAGTGGAGTGTATGTAGTTCTGCCACCGTTTTATGTCCAAAAACAATTGTTCAATAAAATAATGCACCTTTTGCAGCACCCATAGCTCGTTCTTAAGTCACCCATATTGAGAAACACTGATTTGTGTTGAGTATGAGTATTTGATGAGACTATGTGGCTGCAAAACAATCCACAGCTATTCAAATGTCGACAAAAAATAGCGCAGATACAGCATATGGAAAAAAAATAAACTGTGAGGTAACATTTGTTTGTTTAATACAGTGTTGGACTATAAATGTGTAATAGTATTTGCCTTAAGTTTAGACAAACACACCATGGCTTGTAGCTATATTATCATTATGATCAGTGTTATCATTATTCAAAGTTTGAATGCAGCACTTCAGTTTTCCATGGCCTTGTAAGCTCTTCCACCCTCACAGGAATTAGGGTCTAAAAAGAAAACAAGGACCGATTGTAAGTTTTGGGGCCGATTGTAAGTTTTGGGGCCGCGCCAAAAGGTAACCTGCTGGCAGGCAATGAAAGATGACACATAGTGCCTAAAGGAAAATGCCATCTTTGGATAATTACTTATTCAGATATCATCTGTCTGTGCTTTCCAGGAGTTATTTTCTACTAGTATTATCGACTCTGTTTGTCTCCTCCTGCCTCATTCATCTGCTTCAGCCTCTGCATATATCTGTGACTCTTTGATGGACTTCTACCTGGATGAACACGGTCACTGCTGCTGTTCTAGAAGACTTGGTGACCTCTAGAGGAATGTGTGTGTACTGTAGTGTCCTATGCAAAAGGCTCCAGGCAGCTCCTCATGCTATCTGACCGTACAAATCTACTCTTCAAAGTATTTTTTTTCATTTTTTTTAGCTGCCTTTTAACGTTTCTGTTGTGGTCTTTCTTAAAGCAAATCTTGACATAACGACAAATGGAGGGTTAGCCTGTTGTTAAATACACACGTGTTGCACATGAATCACAGATGAGTGACCCCACTTATCGCTTTTAAAGCCAGGTAAACTGTGTTAGGGATCCTCAGGGTCTTGTGGGCACTTGCAGTTGATATGAGGCTCAGATAGCAATCTGTTGCCTTTGAATGGGTGATTAGTAAAGCTAGTACCACGCCGCCTTGCGATCAGTGCTGAAAGCCAGCCCATAGGCTGAATCTCACAGTGAGAAAAAACAGTTGCCTCCATGCACAGCTGGCTCCATCTTTCTCTTTCGGCCACATTTTTCTCTTTCTTATTCCTGTCTCTCTGTTTCACATGCTCTTTGAGGGCCAGTTATCTGCCCTCCGACTGACACACCACCGAAGCAAATCCACAGTTATCTGAACACCAATGTGCCCGAGTTATGAACAATCACAAGCCCGAGCTCTCCCCTCTTTTGAAAACCTCTTTGCATCAGCTGTATACACGAAGCCTCACTTTGCATCACTCACTGCACACATTCAAAATCCCATAGAACACAAAAGCCTGGTAGCATAGGGCAGTGATGGACCTTAAGGAGCCGCCATGAAGCCTGGTGCGAAGATGTGAGTGTGGGCTTTTTCTCTGCTCTGCATTGCTTAGCAACTTAGAAAAAAATGCCCGGGATAGCTTGACAGGGCAGCTTTGGGGTTGTAGCTGAGGGAGGTTGCCCATTTAGCCCACCTTTCATCAGCAGTAAAGGGGTTAAAATGTACTTAGGACTCACATAGACTTTTGCTTTTGTCTGTACTGGCATCTGTTTGCTTTCTTATCATCATTATCTGTGGAAGGGAATTTAAAGCTGGAAAAATGGGCATAATTCCACCAACAAGGCAACTAGTTCCAACTGCTTGTCACTGACAAAGTAGGTGTCATTTACCATCTTCGTAATTCCTAAAAAATAAAAGATAGATAAATGTATATATGTATATTAAGACAATGCAGAAACCATTCATTTAGGCACTGAAACATGCAGTGGTTTCGTGCGTTGCTGGTCAGTGAACCTTGAAGAACATGCAGGTGTTTCCTTCCTGCACCAACTAGGCTGGACTCAGTTTCAGACTCAACATTAGCCCTAGATTAAATCTAGTCTGCAGATTTTTCGCAGCTGTTCACTATGCTGATTTAGTGATGGTGGTAACAGTTTCTTTTTTTAGAATGAAAAGTGCACTGACAATAATTTTATAATCAAACTGAGATGATTAAATGGGGAGTGAACATCCTGCAGAGCGTCTGGGAAAATGCAATTGAGCTGCGCAGTTGACACGTTGAACTGTTTTGTTTGACTGCATTTTGACCGCAAGTTACATGTCACAATTTGAATGGAAAAAAATAAACATAAACTGTCTGCAACATAAATCTAACATGATAATGATGGTCTAAAAGTATTTCAGAGGCTCTCTTTCCACCCTGATAAGAAGCACATTTAGATGGACAAGACATGTGTTTTTGACATCCTGTTAGAAGAATTTAAAGATGGTACAGGTGATAAATGTCAGCTATATGACTTCCATATACCATATATTTGCTGAATTCTAGTACTTAAGTACTTGTGCTTTACCGTAGTTTTATACTTTATGGCACTTAAGTTACCAGTTACATTGCAGATTCTGATAATTAATAAAATAATATGTAATCAACAAATAAAATACAATGTAATTTTATAGATTAATATAAAACTTCCCGGGGCTCCACATTTACCAGCTGCAGCATTAAAGTGATGAACACATGATTGCATTAATAATTATAATAGAAAAATTTTATGTACTGTATCTTATTCTGAAAGTGGACATTCTGCAGAGTACTTTTTGTCATATTTGCTGAAATTTTAGTTGTATTAACAGTTGTACATGATACAGATAATCTGTAAAAAAAATCATATTATTTTCATTTTAGCAATAATAAGAAAAAAGTTATTTTTATAAAAGTTACCTACTACAGCTTTAAGTAAAATTTTGAATGCAGGACTTGAGTATTTCTACATTGTGGTATTGCTAATTATATTAAAAGAACCCCTGCAGACACGTTTTAAAGGACCAGTGTGTAGAATTTAGTGGAGTCTAGGAGTGAAATGAACGAGAACGGGTGGTGATTTTAGGATTAAAACTAGGATTTTGATGTGTCATTTCCTTTTCATTTCACCTTCCAGCACTTGACGGGACAGAATGGAAAGATTCTTTAATAACAGGGTGTTCAATTAAAGAATTAAAGATCTAAAAATGCTTTGCATACCTGTGCTCTGTACGTAGATTTATGGAACCGCTGTTATCTATGAGACATTAACACAATTACCATAAACAAATGAGATGGCAAAAGCCTGGCAACTTGTGCTATCCTGTCTGCACTCTGGGATGGTGCCACCAGGTCACATTTGGAGGGAAACATATCAGTTTGCTTTTTGACCAGTTTTACTGTTATCAGAGGAAAAGGAAATATCATCTGCTGCATGGGGGGAGGGAAGGGGGAAAGTCATATTAACACTACAGTGTTGATACATAACAGAGAGGTGATGATGTTTTTCTGCACAAATAAACAAAGCCTTTTATTGTTGAAAAGATGATTGTAACATGCGTTTTTCTGGCCTGGGGTGGTGTAGTGAAAGATGTCAGGTTGGCATATTGTTATTAGTAGGCTATATATAATGTGAATATGTAGATTCATCTAAATGCAATGAACTAAACATTACCCTACAAATGTTTTAATTCATGGGTCTTCATCATTTGGCACATGCTATGTGATAAAAGTGACACAGTCATATCTTAAGCTAGCAAAACGTTAGCAAACTACCTAACTAATGAGTGATGAGCTAACATTTAGCTAATGTTAGAGCTAATGATAGCTAGTGTTCTGCCCCGCAGCAAAATGCTAACTAAGGAGATAATGAAGTAGCTAACTAACAACTGTTGTAGATTACTAGTTAGCAGAGGTGGGTAGAGTAGCCAAAAATTGTACTAAAGTCAAAGTACTGTTACTTCAGAATAATATGACTCAAGTAAAAGTAAAAAGTAGTCATCCAAA